ATGAAAGTTCATAGAGTTCCGTTGTGCTTTGCAGCCGTGCCTCCATCGATAGCTATAAAAGAAGTAAGCCGCTGTTTCTGATTCAGTCAGTTCTTAAACCTCGTGCAGTTCGGATCACAATGTTCAGCAATTATAATCATTTCGTTCATAAAGGATATGGAAATTTTGAAGATGATGACGACGATATTGAAAGCTCACAAGAAAGCGAACAATCATCTCAAAGTTCTCAATCTAGCGAAGAAATGGACTCTTCCGGAGAGGAGGAGGAGGAGCATGTAGATCCTTGGTCACGCATTCAAAATGAAGTTTGTAATCGCCACGAAGCCCAGCTCGAAGCTCTGATCAACGAGTATGAACAAAACGGAGACTCGCCTGAAGTGGCCCGCATTAAAGCTGAAAATGCTTTGCTTCCAGTATATAGAAAGGAATTGAGAAAAGTGTTCTTAGAGTTTTTACAGTGGATGCATGCAATGAAGAAAGATCCGACATTCCGAAAAGTGATGGAAACCCGCCAAGATCTCAAAGACACAGAAGGATATGACTGGCTGGAATCGACAGAACTTGCCATCGATAAGCGGAAATTCTTACTCAATCGATTGTTTGTCAAACAAACTGTTCCCGAAGACTAAGCCGGAACTCTGTCTATTCATCTATTGTTGTAACACTTTGGTGGTTTTGTTATCAATAAATGTATTTTTTAACCGGAACAAAGGTGTAGTCTGGTTGTAGCACGCGCGTATTAATCCCACCATTGTTTATATATAATTGAGTTGCTTCCCGTGGATAATTTATGCGACAAGCGTTCATGTTGGCTCAGTGTATATTAAATTAGTTTGCGATGAATAATAAAATACAGTTCGCTTGCGTTCGTTTTGTTTCGTATGATACAGGTCTAAAAGGAAAAAGGCCAACCTGTTAATGGTTAACACTCGATACCACAGTCTAGAAACGTTTGAAGGTTGAATTATATTGACAAAACAGAATCAATGGTTTTGTAGAATAAAAATATTTATCTTTGGTCACAGTGAATAGTTTTAAGTCGAGTACTGTTTTCGGACCGTTGACTAGTATGTTTGGATGCTATCCGCTCAAAAATATTATTTACTGGAGTTTGTGACAATAATAAAATGCTGAACGGAGAGCGCGCTTTTATTTGGAAGATAGAATAGATTCTACAATCAGGGTTAAAAGAGCCTGGGCAAGTCTAGGCAAGCCTATTGTTCCCATTGAAGTATTCAAAACAACTATGACATCATAGTACCCCGGAATACATATGACATCATCTTCCAAAAATAACTAACCTGTCAAACCGGTTATACCAACCATGACCGCCACAAGATAAAAATAGAACATGACATCATTGATAAACCCGTCAAACTGGATATACTTAATGAGATTCCACCGCAAGTTAATGAGATTCCTGCGCATTTTATTCATGAGATCAAGACAATAGCCTATGACGTCAGCGACGTTAATTTATTCCCCCCCCCCACCTTAATGAGATTCCCCCCCAAAAAAGAGGTTAATTTCATCCCTCCTATACTACTTGAACAACCCTAAACGTGTAATATATAGATTTAGCCTGGGCTAAAAGCGAAGCTCTTACTAACTCGAATTTATAATTTACATGAAACAATTGTAAACTTGTATTCCACAAATCAGTTAACTTTAGAGCACATTCATGTGACTTTTGACGGAAAGGCTAAGTAATTTTAGAGAAAAATAATTTGCAAACAGTCCAAGCTAAGAGTGAAATTAATCTTACATCGACTTGATAGCCTTTTATGTACACCTAAAAAATAGCATAGCCATAATGGTTCTTGATCACAGTACATTAGGAAAACAAATCAGGCCGAATTGTTTACGTTCGATAAGTTTACTTTACAAAATCTTGCCAACAAGTCTGGGTCGTGTAAAGCAACCTTTTATACCTTTTATACATCACATCTGAGGTGAAATAGTACCATGAGGTGCTGTTTTTATCATACAGACCTCGGACAGAATGCAGTATTTCACAGTTTTGCAATACAAATTGCACTCATTTCAATATTCAGGACGATCGAAGCACGCTCTATCGAAACCGTTTAAAAGATTTCCAAAATCACCTATACGGCGAGCCGGTTCTCGCTTTTGACAAGCGCTAAAGTCGACTGTTTAAATTAAGATTAACATAGTTATGCGCCTCAACATAATGGCTTTATAACGATGTGTAATCTTCAAAAGCGTTTGATACGCGCGGCATTTTGACTACTCCTGCAAGCTATGTTCATGAGCGACTGAAAACAAACGGCACAACAGCGATGAAAATTGCAAAAGAGACTACTAACAATCAATAAAAGGAAAATCATTCGGTGAAATATGTACAGAGACAACAAATTTCATTCACGAAGACAAGTATTAAAGTGTCTCTGAAAATCCTTGTTTATGTTTTAAGCCGGCTTACCGGTGTTTGTGTTTTCCAAAGATGAACTCGAGGCAAGAAAATCGCTCAAAGCTTTCTTTTACAGCCAGAATTATAACTAAATATCCTTTGGAACGTTTTCTTTCTATTTGCGGTGAGAAAATGTCTGAAGGCTTTTTAAAGTTCTCCAATCAAACCTGATACTCGGCCAGATCATTAGGGCCATTTATACGAGGAAAAATAAGACGCGTCTTACATAAGACGCGTTTTAAATAAGGCGCGAACTTTCCGTATAAACGGCACATTTCGTCTAAAATAAGACGCGGCTTAGCTAAGACGCGCCTTATTAGATAAGACATACTCGTAAAAATGGTACAGTTCGCGTCTTATTTAAGACGCGTCTTATGTAAAACGCTTCTTATTTTTCCTCGTATAATTGGCCCTAATGTCTCAAATCTTACTAACGTGCATAAACTAAATAGCCCCATAAACTACACTCGACTTCATTGAATTAGATATAAAAGACAAACATCAAATAAAATAGTTACTCAGGCTTACCATTCGAGATGCACTGAAAACTATCAAGTAAGGCCAAAATCGTTTCAACTCCCCTACGCGTCAAGCAAGGTGAAAAACGAAAACGATGCCATCCGAAATCGGATTTCCGACTTTCACAAGCGACGTATTTCTCAACCAAAAACCCGATAAACAACTAGCCATGAATAACAGAAGACTCTTGAGAGCAGCTGAAATTTATTTTGTACATTCAGTGGAAAAAGACAGTTAAAAACATCACAAGTTGACACAAAACTCTGTCAGCTTCAGCTGTCAAAGTAAACAAGTTTCAAGATGCTGCATAAATTTTCCGCATGAACTCACCTGTCACGTTTGACAAATCAAAGCATTAAAATTGGACGTAGAGCGTAACCAACGCGTGGCCTTGGTGAGAAAAGTCAAAAGCAACTGGCATGTCTTCCCTGCCTGTAAAAAACTGGCTGAATCTTAGCTTCCGAGGTCACTTTGAAATTAAAATTTTAATTGTGCGGCACCAGGAGCCCATCAAATGATGGGCTCCTGGCGGCACATATCAAACACAACGTATTTCATATGAATTGAAAAAATTAAACTTGAACCTGCAATCACTTGAAAACTAGTAACTTGTCAGCGGATAACTTCAAAAAATACTCGACCTCGATGGGTCGACACCTGAGCCCGCGATACGATCAGGTGATACTGGTCAGCGAGACCCTGTTTTGACAGCTGTCAATTGATCAGAACATTGATGTGCAATATGTGTGCAATATCAGTCTTCCTGTGCTCCCAAGCTAGCTAGAAAGTGTGGGGTTGAACATTGGTTTCCCTGTGGTGCGGACGGACGGGCAATGGGCGGGCCGTGTACGGTCACGTGATTACCAAATTTTCTAGGATGGGTAGATTTACTTACCCATGGTGCTCCGCAGGCGCGCTTCGCGCGCCAGAGCTAAAGGTGAACTTAATGCACCTAATGTAAATCCCGTAAGGGGGGAGTGCGGGCAAGGGGCGGGGATTTGATGCCTGAGACTATCTCCCTGTCGGGCTTTTGATCGTGCATAGCGACCCCGGGGTCGGGACATTTGACTTTGACCGACAGAAGCGTGGTATCAATTCAGAAGCGGTTACCAAGTCCGTCCCTCGAGGCTTTCTGAAAGTCACCCTGTTGGAGAAGGGTATGAAGTTAAGACAGTCTATTTTGAGAAAGGTTTTATCTTCAAGTTCCCATCTGATTGTATAACTCGATTGAAATCGAATTCCACCATGAAAGTCAGAGGATTTTTCACGGGTCACTGATCCGACCTGTTCCGACATGTTGAGCAGATGTTATAAAGCATTTTGCGTTTCATTAATATTATAATAGCACAGTCAATCTTCCTGGAATGATTTTGTTGTTCAAAATAGGAGATGCTAGTGGAGAGAGAAAATACTTAATTACAGCGAGTAATTTAACGGAGCTTACGTTAACCATAAAGAAAAGTGTTAAGAACTTACTTTTGAAATATTCTTTTAATTTGTTTTCTGATATAGTGTTATAGTATTGTTTGTTTAGATTTTTACCCCTGGGGTGGGGGCTTTTTTGACACTTTTGATCAACCTTTCGTTTCCAACCCTGGGGAATTTGATCAAAAAATTTCAAAATTTGTCAAATCCCCACCCCTTGCCCGCACTCCCCCTCACGAGGTTGGCATTGATAGGTAACATCGATGGAGATAATCGGGTCCTGATGGAGGTAAGCATGTTTTAGCTTTATTTTTAAACTAGGAATTATTTTGAATGAATAATAAAACAATTACTGAATTCGGCTTTCCTATCATATGAAGAATTATGGAGATCTCGGAGGGTGTTATCCGCCTCGGCCGTCTCCATAATTCTTCATAAGATACTCAGCCTCATTCATTAATTCATGCCCAAAAAAGTGGTTAGCGTATATAAAAGATATATAAAGGAGGGGGAATCCGCTGAGAAAAGTTACTGAGGTTGCAGGTATAAAAGCGCGGGCTGCCTTGCGCGTCTTTTCTCTTGAAAGCATAAACCAGTCGAGCAGAGTGGGCATTCGTGCAAAGGGGGATAATGAATCAGCATTTTTTTCGTTCGGGGCTAGGCCTCTTGTTGTTGTTGTCGGTTTTCTCCAGTGGCTTTGCCATAGGTAAGTTGAACAAGCGTTCTATAGCTTGATTGATCGATTTTGATTAATAATGCACTCGAGGCAAAACAGCAATGCTGATGATTACGAGACGTCAGTAGCATTTTAAACTTGGAAATGCCTAGATACCATGGCAGTCAAATGAAATTTTGACCAATTTTCGCGAAATATCTCGTTTAATTCCTCTTAAAACATAAAATATTTGCTTAGAAATCTCAAGCGATTGTAACTATTGCCTTGGGTTGAAAGTAGAAGCGACTGTCGACTCCCGCTTTTTAGTTTGGGCATAGAGTAATCTCAATTTCTTCGACACGTGAAAAATATTAGGGCCATTTATACGAGGAAAAATAAGACGCGTCTTAAATAATACGCGAACTGTACCATTTATACGAGCATGTCTTATCTAATAAGACGCGTCTTAGCTAAGCCGCGTCTTATTTTAGACGAAATGTTCCGTTTATACGGAAAGTTCGTGTCTTATTTAAGACGAGTGTTATGTAAGACGCGTCTTATTTTTCCTCGTATAAATGGCCCTATTGAAGCTCCGGACACACAGAAATTATCAACGAAACCTCACCAGAGTATTTAGTGTTTATTCAGAAATGCCAAGCGATTGTAAATAAAGAAATGTATTTTCTCGCGTTAAGGAATGCACGTTGCTTCAGTGCTTTGCATACCGATGTGTTGGTATTTGTCGCGTGAGTTATTTTGACAGTGTGCGTGATTATTTGTTATCAGGTATATAAGGTGTTCTTTGCAGATTCAAGGTCACTTGACAGCATCTCTCGCTACCGTTCTGTAAATTTTCTTGTATTTGTTATCTTTTTTGTTATTATATTTAATCTTTCAGAAAGGTTATTACCAGATTGTACATTATTAATTGTTAGCTTACGTCTTCGTTAGCTGTAGTTTGTAGTATGTTTATTCATGTATTTTGCCCGTGTTCTAGCTATCAATAAACGAGATGCCTATTCCTGATCCTTGTCTGCGTTTCATGGTTTCTAGAGTGAAAATGATTTGTTCTCGTTTCACTGCAGAGTGATTAGAGAACAATTTGTATTGTTGTGGACAAATTCTCTGAGCTTGCATTAATTATTAATCATGCATTAAGCATATTCTGTCAGGAGCCCATAACCCGGAGCATCTAACTTCCATACTGCGCCTATGCAACAGCGTTTTCACAAGTAGGTTTATTTTTAGATAAGCCTTTCCCGCGAATTGCTTTTGAAAAGCCAATCACAAGCAAGTGCGTCATCAATAATAAACTTTTAATATGTAACCAGGGCAACTCCTTCACATTGAAAAAAAAGCATGGCGGACACACATGAGGAATCTTTCGAGGATTTTTCTGACAGTACTTCAAGCGACAATTGCAGTATTTACACGGAAACTAGCAGTTCAGAGGAAGATCTGCAAAACGTAGAAGTAATTAAGAGCCCGGGACGTCTACTTCATTGTCGACAATGCATAATTCACGCAAAGGGAAATCGAAATCATCTTTGAAACAGCCGACTGTGAAAAGGTCCAAATGACAACAGTCATTTTTCGCGGGAAAAGCTTATCTAAAAATAGACTCACTTGTAAAAACGCCGTTGCACGAATTTATGGCAGTTGCACGCTCCGGGTTATGGGCTCCTGATTCTGTAGAATCTTGACTCGCGGGTACGGTTTTCAAAATGCTAGATGTCCGGTCCACCTTTTTAACTTCCTTTTCAGGGTCTTAGTTTTGTAGTTTTATTTTTATGATACCTTGAACATAGTATGTATTATATCAGATAATAGATTTAGATCTTGTAATTCCCTTTCTTCTTTTAAATCTAAGCTTAAGACTTGGGTTTTTAAAATTTGTTATGATGTTGTCGTATAGAATGATGATGTTTTCTTAGGATGACAATGTAGTTTTATAGTTTTGTAGGTTTAGGATTTTGTTGTTATTTTTATTATGTAAAGCGCTTTTGGATCATTGGGAATTTTTTTATAGGATGTCAATGTAGTTTTGTAGTTTTGTAGGTTTAGGATTTTTTGGACCATTGGGAATTAGCGCTCTATAAATATTGTATATTATTATTATTAGCCAAAACTAAAAGTGAAGCTCCCATTTAATAAGTTTATAATTTACTTCAAACAATAAACTGCATATTTAACAATTAATGAATGAGGCTGAGTATCTTATGAGGAATTATGGAGATCGAGGAGGGTGTTATCCCGAGACGGATAACACCCTCCAAGATCTCCATAACTCTTCATATGATACGAAAGCCAAATTCAATAATTGTTTTATTATTCATTCAAAATAATTCCTAGTTTAAAAAAATGGCTAAAACATGCTTACCTCCATCGATCAGATTGATGTTAAGTTCATCTTCGATAGTGCCCATTTAGGGTTGTTCAGCTCCGCAAATATTCTCCAAATAGCACAAGTCGCCCTTCAAGTTGTCTTCTTGCTGTTCTTGCCATGTTTTTAGCTATAATTTCGCCTAGTTCTTACTCTTGAAACGAGTGAAATATCCGCCATTTTTGTTTCCACATTCAAAACAACTCGACCTCTTCCCCAGGTCTTTTCAGTTAACAGTACCTTAACCTGGATGAACGCTGCATTTTTGACGTCATTTCCTCGTTAAACACAAAATGTTTCCAAATTTGGTCATCAGTAACTGGTTATAGTGAATTATGCGTGTGCTTTTAGCTAATCAGAATTGGGGAAATATTTTGAATGAATAATAATTAGCAATTAATGAATGAGGCTGAGTAGGATATGAAGAATTGAGCAGATCAAGGAGGGTGTTATCCACCGAGGCTGAAGGTAGAGGTGGATAACACTCTCCAAGATCCACTTAATTCTTCATATCCTACGAAAGCAGAATTCATTAATTGCTTTATTATTTGTTCAAAATAATTCCTAGTTTAAAAACACAGCTAAGACATGCTTACCTGCATCGATGTTAAGTTTATCTTCGATAGTGTACGTTTAGGTTTGTCCAGCTCCGCAAATATTCTCCAAATAGCAGATGTCGCCCTCTGAGTTGTCTTCTTGCTGTTTCTGCTATGTTTTTAGCCATTATTTCATGTAGTTCCAGCTGTAGTTCTCACTCTTGAAACGATTGAAGTGTCCGCCATTTTAGTTTTTACAACAAAAACGACTCAACCTCGTGCCCAGGTCTTCTCGGTTAACGGTGCCTTAACCTGTAGAGGACTGCATTTTTGACTTCATTTCCTCGTTAAACACAAAATTCTTCCAAATTTGGTCATCAGTAACTGGTTATGGTGAATTATGCATGTGCTTTTAGCCAGTGAGAATTGGGGAAATATTTTGAGTGAATAATAGTTATACTTAACTTTTGGAAAGACGCATATGACTTTTGAGGGAGGGGCTCAGTGATTTTAGAATAAAAGAAAAAAATCTTCAAACAGCGTGGGAAAAAAAATACAGGCAGCATGTACTGTGTCAATTTAATATCCCCTTTCTTTTGTAAGGTTGATTGGCCAGCCTTGAAATATAATTTTATGTTACAAAGGCTTGTTTAACAAATAAATAAATGAATACTCAATGAGGATTCGGAGGAAGCACATCCACAAAGTGGTTCTTTGTCAACCTGATTCCTGGTTGAAATGGAATTTGGAAATGTTGGTGTGGCAGTGGTTAATTTACATGTCACAATTTATGGGTTTTATCTCTCTGTCTAAAGGAGGCCAAAATGAAAAAATCAGGCTGTGTTTTTTTTGGGCCTGCCACAGGTTTACTTTTCAAAATCATCAATAAATTAGCTATTGTGCAGCCTGCCAGAAGAGCCTTTCTTTTGCTCACTTGATTTTGGCATACTCAAGGAAGACACTGCATGAATCCAGTGAGATCTTTGCTGAGCATGTGGGGCAGTGTTGCTAGGATATAGTCTCAAACGGAGGCCTAAAAGCTAATAACACTTATTCAATTATTTGCTCATTTTCTTTTATTGTTTTAGAGCCACACTGTCATAATGTAACTAAAACTGTGGAAATTGTATACAGAGAGGCTAAAAAAACAGTATCGCTCAAGTTTATTTGGGATGCAAGTCTTATTGGCGGTACAGTTGGAGTGATTTTTGGAACAGTCACAGATAGAGCTGGCAAATGTATAGCAGAGAGGGCAATGACAATTATGCTGCCAACCAATGCAAAGCATTGTCCACGATTCACTGGATACGAATCTTGGTGTAAAAATGAGACAAGGTTCAGTGTCAAAAAGAATACCAATGGCTCCCTGGAACTGATTGTCAAATTTTCAGTTCAGTCCATGTTGAGATACCTGGGGAATGTGACAGTGAATAACACCGTCTTGTTCTCATCCAGGCTCCAATACAGTTATCTTAGTACAAATGAAAGTGCTTCAGACCTCACTACCCAAGTCCATGTATTAGGTGGGTATGCTAAAATTTATACATGAAAGTAAATGATTTGTTATTATAATCTTACTTGATGGGCTGTGAATTAAATAACAAGTTGCACAGTGTTGAGTGATGCACCGTGCAAAGAAAGTTGTGTCTGATAGCCCGGGGCTAGCAGATTTTTCTATCAGGTTAGTGATTTTTGTTCTTAACTTGCCAGACAGGCAAGTGCTGTTTTTTGGGGAAGTTGAAATTACAGAAGGATTGTAATCAATCCTGCTAATCAAAAAGGGTTTTGGGGCTAGTTGAAATGACTTGTGGGCTAGTACATACCAGCTACAGCTTGCCCGAATGGCAAGCTGTAAAATTGACTTTCTTTGCACCCTGTGATGTTATGAAGCTTGCTCTCCATCAAGCATTGCCTTCAGCATCATGCAGCATTCTTTTGTGTGAGGTGTGATGTGTAATAGTTTGATTTATAATGATTAGAAATCAATTTCAATTGCATTCATCGTAGGAAAACCAGTTTACAAATTTTTCAAACAATATACCCCGTAGCACAAGCTAGCCATGCACATAAATTCAAAATCTTATTTTCAGTGGTTTTGGTGACTAAGCACTCAGTATCTCAGTATGATATTAACAGGGTTTCATTAAGAATTGCAGTATCAGGAGAATATTTTGAAACAGCGAAGCCCTTTCCTGGAAAGAGCATGAAAATGAGCCTGGAAAGTTTGCGCTTTAAACCCTGCTGAGATGGCTTTCCCTACTACATGTATCTGATAGCAAATTTTATTTCTCGTAGCTGGTTCAGGGAACACTCAGTGCAAAACTTTGCATGTCCAGTTTAATACACGATTTGTCGAATATCGATGAATATCTCGTCTTTGTTTCCTCTGCTACTGCAGTTACAATTTATGCTGTGCCATTTTAGAAGTTATTGTTAAAATATATTGACGTAGAAAAATTTTAAAATTAATTGCTTCGTAGTAATTGCCCCTGCAGGGATTTCCCCCAGAAGGCGAAATCCTGAGGAGGCACTCTAGTAACTGACGTGTATATTAAGGAAAGTACTTACAGTTGAAATAATTTATACAGTCAATATAGAAAAAATCTTGATTTGCTTGAACAGGGACCGCGAGGAATCGGTAGGTAATGATGACGTTTCTATTGTTTGCGCCTGCAAGTACGAAATGGTTAGGATGACATAAAACACAAAAAATCCCGAAGGGACCGCTTACAATAGGTAGATTTTATGACATCAATTGTGCAGTCATACTTCGATACTCTTTTGCTTTACGTGTTATCAGTGACATTCTGGGCAGCAGTTGTTATGAAAGTTATGGACGAAAAGACACTTGTTAAGTGCAGATGAAGTTATAAGGTGCGTATAACAGTATATCTTTTAACACTAAGTGAGTTTGCCAGACACAAGTCCACAAATCTTTGATTGGAAACCCAACCAGACACTCTTTCTCTTTCTTTGACTGGAATAAGACTCGGCCCCAAACAAGCAAGAAGAGTGAATGATTCAACCGCTAGCTTATCACTAGCAGAACGATGGACAATTACAGAGATTCGCCAACCATCAAATTCTGTGCTGACTTATTCCCTGCTCGCAGATGTCCTTCCACTGTAAAGTTTAAAATAAGACTAGAATGCGCGAGCATGAATTGATGAAACTTCCTTTTAATTTTTTAAGGCTTACTTTCCGGCAAATAAAATGAATTAAATGTAAAAAGTGAAATAGAAATAGCGTAAAATTAAACTTCTAAGTAAATCTTTTCTTGTGGTTTAGAATAAACTATTTTCGAAACTGAGAATGTTTTGATCAAAGCTGTGTAAATCGAACTGAAACTGTGCATGGAACCTTGTGTTTATTTCCTGTATTTATCTCACCTATTGTATGGAATAATATGTGTGAACGTCTTCATCATAAATCGGTAAATTTCAAAGAGCTACACAACAAGCAAGAATACTATTGACCGACAATATACAGAGCGGGGGCAGCTGTAGTGTCATCTATTACTAGTTTGATACTTTGTCATTTATATATTGGAAACATTGCCAAATTTATTTCCATAGCAGTTCACAAAGAAATCATTCTTTTTACTCATAAAGGTACTTAATTCTTATCACTTAAACGTTTCTCGTGGTAACTTTGCCACCAGAATTTGTTCATCATGTACTTTATTTTGTTTCGGGTTTTGCTTCATTAGTATTTATTCGTTTAATAATTTTTTGCATGCAAAGAAAAAAGTGTTGAGCTTGCAATCGACTCTCCACACTTCAGCAAACCGTCTAATATTATTTTTTGATGTATCCCTGTTAATTTTGTTGGGATTAAAACTGCTTGATGTATTTGTTATTTATTTAGGAATGTAAAGCAAGTGACTAAAATTACGCATTTCTGTAGCCTGTGAACAGGCTCTCTGTTTGGGGAAGGAGTGGAAAAATTGCGAGGAGAGGGAAGGGAAAGGTTGAGAGACTGTAGACAAAAATTTGCCTTCTTGTCTTGTAATTGCCGATCATCACCAGATTGTTATCAGTCACTTGGACACACTAAAATGTAATCAATTCTGTGTGTAATTTTACCTCTTGCCAAAATGTTGCTTTTTCCAATGAGTTTATTCTGCTATGGAGGGTTTAGTTTTAACTGAGAAAATGTCATTTTTGCTGCTTATTTCATACTAAGAGACATGCATGTGACATGCATATTGATTTTTCTGCGGTTATTGTTTCTGGTCGGCATGATTTGCCCTCTGGTGCAAGAACATTCATTACGGCTAAGAAAGCTCATCAGGCAAGGGCCAGAAGACACCATGTTAAAGATCAGAAGCCCTGTTTACAAGAGATTATTTAAATCAAATCGAAGCAATGAAAATCAAACCTATCAACAGTCAGTCTTCTTGTGAGTAGGAGCTTGCATCAGGATCTGATGCACAGTGGGTGTTGTGGAACAATGGTCTCAAATGTTTTTCTACGAGCTCTCACCCTTTCCCTTCCCTCTCCTTGCAGTTTTTTCACCCTTTCCCTAGACAGAGAGCCTGTTCACAGGCTAGCATTTTTGGAAATAATATTAATATTTCTTTTTACATAACGTATCCACGTCTGACTTGTCTGAATAAAATAGCTATACTTCATTGAAATGTAGCCAGAGAATTATGCGTAGTAGACAGAGAATTCTGTGATCTCCAATGCTTAATGAAACCGCTGTATTAAACATAAAACCTCTTTGTATGGAAAACCATGCAAGCGTGACTGGGCAGCAAAAGTTGTTTTTCTGATACAAATGCTTCTAACTTTTGGTGGCCGTTGCTATTGCTACTTTTTGAGATATTCAGCTGAAAATTTGCAGGTACCTATTTTTATATGCTCTTTCAGCTTATGCAAACAAAATTTTTCAACAGCAAACTGTTTTCATGTTTGGCGAAAGTTGATCATGTGACCACAGTCATGCAAAGAGCCTATTGAAATAAAAATAACATAATTATCCAAAAAATGTGAAAAAAAAAACATGTGTATGCAAAATGGGAAATGTCCAAGATTTTTGACATTTTTGTTTCTGGTTATGTGATCCTGGGCACAGTGCAAAGTCATCATATTTATAAATATAAATATTATTTGCATATCACAAACAATCACTGTGCTACAAAATAACCAATAATTTAAGGTATACAGCCAGAAGTTTTCCCCACAACAGCCGCAGAAGGTGGGTCAGCCGGCCCCTAAAAGTCAAACACATTGCACTTGTTTGGCCACACCGCAACGTGTTTAAGACTGTCTTACATCGTCCAACAGTATCATTTCCAGTTGTTGCAATTGTTAGGCCTGAGACTGTATTATAACTGTTGTCCGTATAAAAAACTGAGAGTAGTATATCCCTTGTCAAAGTGAATCTAAAGCTCAAAATGTTTTTGGCTTATCTGTGTTAACCTGGAGGAGGAGGTGCTCAACAGAGCCACCATTGTGCTGGACTCAATAATTATTACCTGTGACCTACAAGTACATATACGTTAGTAGGTTACAGAATTTGTGGCCTGCAAACAAGAATAGGAAACAAAATATATATTATTTGGAATAAACTTAACAAGTAAATGTAGGTATCTTATTAATAATGGTAATAGGACTGAGTGGAGTCCAATTAGGTCTGTAATCATACAGATGATTAAAAGACAAAATTGCGGCGATTTGTTAAATCACAGTATGATTGTGTGTACAGACCTAGCGTGCCCAATCAATGAAATTCGATAATTGATTTTCATCGATAGTAATTAATCGGTTGATATCAGAAATCGATGAAAATGAATTTCGAAAGTTGTCAGTATCGATTTTCATCAATTTTTATCAATTATATCCATTGTCAATGGTAACTTTATTTACTGTTTCATAGTGGAGCGTCCGTGTGCACAAGGCAAAGCCCCATAACCATAAAGAATGGAAACCTATCGATCCCAGAAAATCTTTATTTGATGTCAGCGTATGTCTATCCATGCATACAGACTCAGTAGGGTAGGGAAGGGAGTCTGAGACATGTTTTTTGCATTTCGTTTTGGCTCAAAATGAACCATTTCAGGGGAAACCAATGGAGTTGCTCCAGTAAAAATCTAGATTGAAGTTTTCTTCTATTCGAATTATGACGAAATTTTCGGAAATGAAATTAATTTCAATCTATGGCTTTTCTTTTTGCTTGGTCACGCATTTGGTCACACTTCAGGAACAACCTAGTCTTCCTTTTTATTTTTTTATTTATTTATAGATCCGTACAATGTACAGGGGAGAGAACAATAGGACACGTAGTCCCCTACTTGGTTCACCCTCCTAATCCGACCCCTTGGTCAAAATTTTGAGAGGTGAATTCATGTGGGAAAACTTATGCAGCATCTAGAAATTTGTTTGCCGACAACTGAAGTCTCTTTTGATTTCAGTCAAGTTTTAAAATTATGCTCTTGTACTGCCCCACAAAATGAAATACAACTGCTGTCAAGGTTCTTTTGTAGTTTTTCAAAACTGAATTGTTTATTAATTGGTTTTTTATCAAGGGAAGTGTTGATTCATC